CCTGAACTGCATTCCCCCGCATTCCCGCTAAAAAAATCCCTGTGTAAACCACATAAAAATGAACTGCATCACATTAAAAATGTATGAAGGGACCCTTAGTTTCTTTGAAGGTAGTGGATACAAAGTTTGTGTTGTGAGCTCAAAACTGCATGAAATGCAATTTTTATCTCTTCCCTGAATCCTGTTGTTTTTGTGCCTGAAAGGGATCCTGTTTTATGTCCAAATATGACAGAAATATAAAAGCATCAATTGCTGAGTTGAAATTGATAACCAGGTCTCAGGTTAACCACTTCAGTATTGAACACTTTCACCACCTTCTTACCTAAGCCAATTTTCAGCTTTCAGCTCTGTCACACTTTGAAAGCTGATTACTCAGTCATGCAACAATGTACCTAAATAAAATTTTATCATATTTTTTTTAGACAGATAAAGCTTTCTCTTGGTGTTTAATCACCACCGGGTTTTTTATTTTTCACTATTTAAATAAAAAAATACCAAACATTTTGAAAAAAACCCATGTTATTCTTTGTTTCTGTTATTAAATGTTGCAAATAAATAATCTTTCCTCATAAAATAAGGTCAAAATGATGTAGTCTGCTACATTTTTGTGGTAAAAATAACCCAAATTGGTGTATATTATTTACTGTGTAAAAGTTATAGAATCTACAAACTATGGTATATACAGTATATTTGAAACCTTATCAATCCTGACAGTATACAAAAAATATATATAAATAAATATTAGTATATATGTATATAAATATAACTTTTTTTCAATGTTATAAAACATTATCCTTCCTATTTTTTTTTTTACAATTTTTTTTATATACTGTGACCATAGCTATACAGTATCACCATAGTGACACTTTACTGCTATGGGGAGGTGATATGGATATTTTTTTACAGTATGGTTGCTTATTACAGTAATTTTCACAGTTACATGCAATAGTTTTTTATAGATGGCATTCGTTCATGTGACATTGTATACAATTGTGATAGCTGTGATTGACCACAGATATCACATGGTACAGGTGAGCTGTGATTAGCCCTGCCTGTACCATGTGATCACTGTGACCAGAGATTGCAATAGTACACAATGAATGGCTATGAAAGTCATTGCATTCAATTGACATATGAGTGCTGTAATTAGTCACAGCGATCACATGGTACCAGGGTCAGTGTATACAGTGGGTGACAGCTCATGTTGCTGTGCTGCCCTTAGGGTAGGCACCTGGAGGACATCATATGATGTCTACCCAGGATAAATGTGCTCCTGCTTGGCCATTTTTTTTAGAATAGGCTGGGCAGGAGGTGATTAACCCCTTGACGCCGACGTAACACAAATATGCGGCCTCACGGACCTGGGCTTTTTTCCGTGGGGCCGCATATTTGCGTACCTGTCTTTGTGCTGGGAGTGCGCCGCTCGGCGCGCTCCCAGAACCAAGACCGCGGTGTCACTGAGAGCCCCGGGTCCCGTTCTAACGATCGGGACCCGGGACTCCCGATTCCGGGTCACGTGATCGCTGTGATAGCCTCTGATTGGCTATCACAGTGATCAATCACTGTGCAGCCCGGCCCCCTTGTTTTCTCTCTCTCTATGAATGGAGAAGAGAGATACATTGTATCTCTCGAACTCCTGACACAGAGAGAGAAAAAAAAGTTTGTAAAAAAAAAAAAAAGATAAATAAATATTAAAAAATAAAAGAAAAAATAAAGAAAAATACCTAGATCAAGGTTTGATCTAGTTCAGTACCAGGGTTAGTGTTTGGGTCAAGGTCAGGGTCAAAGGTCAGGGTCAAAGGTCAGGGTCAAGGGCAAAGGTCAGGGTCAAAGGTCAGGATTTAAAAAAAAAATTGGTATCAGTGTCAGTTAGTGTTAATGTCAATGTCAGTGACAGTGTGTTTTATATAAAAAAAAAAAGACAAAAACAAAATGCGCACTGTTGTTTCTGGACTGTACTACGGGTACAAACAACAAATAACATACACATATATGGTATCGCTGCGATCGCCAAGAACTGAAGAATGTATTTTGAGTTGTTCTTTGGTGGTAGGTTATGGTCGTAACAAGAAACACACAGTTAAATTTAAAAAAATTATTTTTTTTACTATTTTGGCCCAGTTTTCCTTTAATAATAAAAAAAATTAGGAGCTATCCATGACCATTTACCACCAAATGAAAGCCCAATTTGTCCTGAAAAAAACAAGGTATAATCCACCTGGATGTACAAAGTAGTTGTGACGATATGTACGGTTTTACTAACACGTCAACGTTGCAGAATTGTGCTTAGGCATTTAGATTTGTTTTACCCTTAGGCGTGAAGGGGTTAAAGATCAGGAGCCAATCAGTATGGTAATTATGGTAATCACATTGAGTCTGGATATGTGTTGACCAACCCATCCAGTCTGCAGATAGCACTATGTCTCTGCACACTAACACAGCTTAGTCAGCATATAATGTCTTTGTCCTAGTAAATAATATTTCTATTTTAAGCTGACAGAGTACCCAGTAAAAGCCTTATACAGTATGTCATCAAAAATGGTAAAAATTATTTAGGTCCAACCTAGGGTTATTGTAAAAAGAAAAAACTGGCATAAATTCAGACTTCTAAATTTGGGTTTGACAACTAGGTTTCGATGAACTCTGGTCATGAAGGGGTTAAACATACAAATTTTTTTTACTGGTGCAACCTAAACAACTGTTTTATGAGTTGATTATCAAGCCTGGCTGACAGTAGATCTTGATCAACTGTAGAATATATTAACTATAATATCTATACCAGTAGTTCCTAAAGGATATGGGCAATGGAACATAACACACACATTATAATATATATTTAGATTGATTTAGATATATGTGATTACCACAAATCAAGCAATAAGTTAATTACAAGTCATAAACAGAAATCAAACATCATAAACTGAATAACTAAAAATACCGAGATCAGCATGCAGAAAGATGCTGTGCTTTTCTGGCAGTTCATACATTTTGGGTCTCTACTTAACAGTCATGGGGTTCTATGGGCCTCTCACGTTTTTGTGGACTTGTTCTTCCTGCTTTTTCTTCCCCCATTTATATTTTATTGCGTCACTTTGCTCTGTTTGTGTGGAGCTTGCCAAAGGCCTTGAAATGAAAACTACCAGTGAGGCCCATAAGGTTTGTGTATTAGGGTTGCAAATTCTTCAGGACCCTTTAGTACCTAGATAAACTAGAGACATACTCTGCAGAGTGAAAGATAAGTAACTATAAAGGTACATCATACATGTACCTTCAAAATTTTACACAAAGATTGTGAAGACAAGACAAAATTAACTGGCCATGGGATGGGGAGTGAGTTTTACACTCCCTTTTACCAAAATCATTATCAAATGATGACTTAATATTTGTAAGAAGCAAATATAACAGGCAAAGGTAAACAATCAATGAGTTAAAGTATAACTAAAATATTTCAGTGCCCATTCTGATAGACATTTTGATGAGGCAATGATTAATGACAACTAGCACATATCATGCTCAAAAAGTAATATTTCTTAGCTAATCTAGCTGCATTTGGATAACATTTCATCCAACTTACCCATAACTGCAGGGTTACTTTTTTTACTCCCCTATATAAATTAAATAAAACAGTTAGTCCACAATTCTGTGTAGCTCTTGCCAAATTTACTTCAACATAGAAATATGTATTAAGTCAGAATCTGCATCCTAAAGACGCACTTTCTTTCAGTATATTTTAAGTTGTTTGCTTAAGTGCTTCCATTATTTTTTCAGTTATTTCTGGGAAAATTAGTAAAACATCACAATCTGATACATGTAAAATTAATCATTTCTGAAATGTATTACATAAGCTACATAATTAGCATTGAAATTAAAAATACATTTTTTCTTTCAAGATACTATAACTCTTTGAAATTATCATGCCTAGTGTAGAGCATTTGCTAATGTAAGTCTTTTTTATGACCCTCACTCTTCCCATGTCACCCTTTTGGAATGGCTACCAGTTTTGAAAATTGAATTTTATTATCATCCTGTTCACTCCTTTCCTGCATTCGTTTTTCCATTATTGTAAAAAACACATATCTGTTCATCTGGTATGTCCTGTTTTATATTATTCTGCCTGTGCTGAATTGTGGTTGTCTTTCACAGATAGTATTAAAGCGGTAGTTAACTCTGTTATATTTTTTTCTTTTAAGGGGCCCCCAGGTTGGTTATGCCATAATGTGCTAGTATGCACAGTATATTAGCATAATATGGCAGTCTTACCTGTCAAATAGTGGCCTCCAGCGTTTTGGTGTCCTCAATCTGTGAGCCCCCGATGCTTCCATCTTTGTCCGATCTTCCTTCTAGGTTCTGTGCAATTAAAAAACAAGCATTTGAATAACGATATATGAATTGGGTAGCAATGATAAAAAATTCAGCCAAGCTCAAAACTGTGATCCAGTGTTTAGAGACACAATTGTTAGGCTTAGAAAGTGGTTGGTATTGAGATCACACACTGTCCTTCCTTTTATAGGCTCAGATATTGGAACTTTTAGATAGTGAGCATCCTGGCAACATAAGGGATTGAGCTAACACATCGACCAGAAGATTGAATCCAACTCCCCCCAAAAAAATGAACCCAGTAGTTATCGTCTCACAGACTTTAAATGAAAAGTGCTTATGTTTGAGTGACGATTTTGGGAAAAGCTGTGAATACACCAATGTATAAAAGCCCAAAATCACCAAGTGGATTGAGTTGCTCCTAGTCGCTTACTAATTAACTACTTGCCAACTGCAGATAGCCGAATGACGGCTACACTGCGACCGGCTAGTTCTGGGAGGGTGTCATATGACATCCTCCCAGAACGCGCTCTCCTGCGTGCCCCCAGGGGCACGCACCCAGTGATCTCCATAACTGCTGTGTCCTACGGACACAGCTGATCACGTGATGTGGTAAAAGGCCAATCACAGCGGTCTTTTACCACGTGATCAGTCGTGTCCAATGACACGCTGATCACCGGGAAATGCAATTGCCGGTTCTCGGCTGCACTTTCCTCACGCTGTCAGAGCGTGAGGAAAGTACTGCCGAGAACCGGCAGTTGTCAGAGCAGGGATCAGCACCGATCACCAGGGGACTGATGATTAGTGCCCTGATAATCGGTGCCCAGCAGCGCCACCCACCAGTTCCGCCCACCTGTGCCCAGCAGTGCCGCCCACTAGCTCCACCCACCTGTGCCCAGCAGTGCCCACCAGTGCCACCCAGCAGTGCCACCTACCTGTGCCCAGAAGTTCCACCTACCTGTGCCCAGCAGTGCCACCCACCTGTGCCCACCCACCTGTGCCCACCAGTGCCACCCACCTGTGCCCACCAGTGCCACCCACCAGTGCCCATCAATGCAGCTAGTCAGTGCCACCGTCAGTGCCTAGCAGTTGTGCCAGTCAGTGCCTAGCAGTTGCGCCAGTCAATGCCTAGCAGTTCCGCCAGTCAGTGCCCAGCAGTGATGCCAGTCAGTGCCACCTATCAGTGCTGTTTATCAGTACCCATCATCAGTGCCGCCTATCAGTGCCGCCTATCTGTGACACCTCATTAGTGCTGCCTATCAATGCCGCCTATCCGTGCCACCTCATTAGTGCTGCCTATCAGTGCCGCCTATCAGTGCCCTTCAGTGCTGCCTATCAGTGCCGCCTATCAGTGCCCATCACTGCTGCCTCATCAACGCACATCAGTGAAGGAGAAAAATTACCTGTTTGAAAAATGTTATAATAGAAACAAATAAACTTTTTTTTTTCAAATTTTTTGCACACTTTCTGTTTATAGCGCAAAAAGTAAAGTGCCCAGCAACGATTAAATACCACCAAAAGAAAGCTCTATTTGTGAGAAAAAAATGATAAAAATTTCATATGGGTACAATCTTGCATGACCGCGCAATTGTCAGTCAAAGTGCGACAGCGCTGAAAGCTGAAAATTGGCCTGGTAAAGAAGGGGGTATAAGTGCTCGGTAGGCAAGTGGTTAAGGGGCAGCAATGAAATCAAAATGAACTGTTCATATTTTAAAGCTTGTCCATTCAAAACACCAAGAGATTGCAGCTCACTAACATTTTAACATTTTGTTTAAAAAGAAAATAAAAACAGCCAACACTGCTGAGGATAGTGCACATTCTAAGGCCCATGTCACTCCAGCAAAAGTGTAGCATAAATCTTTAGTAGCTACAAATCTGTCAACATTTTTACTATTAGATTTACAGTTAGATTCAAAGTTGTTGCTTTAACTGACTACAACATTTTCTGTGCAGTTACAAATCACCAGGGTGTTAAGAGCATCATCAACTCCTCTATATAATACGAGTAGTTACAGTAGCTAGTGCCAAAATCTGTCATTCAGCTATAGAGCTACAAATTGTTATAATCACTGCTACACAGCCCTTTTATTGACTGCAATTCAATCTTTCCTTGTGACAAAACACAGAGAAAACCAATTCTGTCCCTGCAATACTGCTTGGGGGCCATGTCCCTTAAAACACAATTTTAAAGGTCCTCAAAAGCATTGTATTCAATAGAATCTGCAAGAGGGTTCTGTATATAGAATATATAGCATATTCGGATTCAAATGCATCAGCAATGCCTTTGCTTAATTTTACCTTCTGTTTTAAAACTAATTGTTATTGTTTTTAGGAATGACCGTGGATTTAGGGTTCTGTGGATGCAATTTTGTACTTAGTAAATAATTTTTTTCACTATTGGTTTGACTCATTGGACATGTATCTTCTTTTAACCTAACTATTTTACTATAAAAAAAAGTAATTCATACAGTTACAAGCATACATTTTCATATTGATTCCAATACTCCACAAAGTTTATGTATACTTTATTTATATTTACACTGTATGGTTAGGTCTATTGTCTTTTTTGTCCCAGACATGCAACAGTAAATGGAGATTTTTACAAAGTGAGGGAAAATTCTTTCATAGGCAGCTGTCAGATAACAAAAGATATGTGTGTCTTCATTAAAAGACCATAGCTGAAAAAGTAATTGACTTACACAAGGTTTGAAGGAAAAACAGCCAGAATACCAAATGCCATGGCAAAGGTTAACTGAGCACAGGGTCAACATTCACACACAAATAAGACATTTTTCTAACTCTTTATGTATCTATATTATTTAAATTTTAATTTGGCCCACAGCAAATTTTCAAGTGGTAGAACCACTTAAGATTATCCCCTTCTGATGGGTTGCCAAGATGAAAGTCGCTGGAAACAAAATTATGTTCCAAAAAATGCATTAAAACAACTTTCTACTGTGCTTCCCTTAGCATAGTGCCTCAGGCTTCTACTATTGAAACATTGCTCACTGATGACTCACTGGAAAAAAACGTTTATTGGGGGTTTATAAGGCACTTTTCCTGGTGGCTTTGTCTTCAGTGAGTAATTGCTTGTAAAAGTGGGTAGATTATGTTCCATATTTGCAGGGAGACCATTGGTATGATATGAAAAATTTTGCCATGGATTTCACTTATACATCCCATATGTACAGTATGTGAAAAGAACAAGCCCATACCATAGGGTGACCAACACAACTCTGGGACTTTTTAGGTCAATTATATCTGGGAAAATTCCAACTGACACAATATTTAGTATAAAAAACCAAAGCAAGTTGATTGTGTTAAAAATATGAATGTAAGTGCTAAAAACATCCATAATTTGAAAAGACAAATGAATAAGTAAGCAGAACCTCTTGTAGTGCTGGCTCAACCACAGCATTTTGTATATACAATATATGTAAATCACATTTATGTGCTTCATACAGATTACAGGCTCAATTGCCCAAATTCAGGGTTCATATACAGCATTTAAAACACCAAAGTGAGGTGGATATCAGCATAATCCAATGCATGCCATGGATCCATGTAGGGTATGATATGTGCCAATACCCATTTAAATATCTGGTCTCTGCCAGAGCCCTGCATGGCCCAATTTTACACTACTTTTGATGTAATTTTGATTCCTCAGTTTACAGTATTTTTACAGGTGCACTATTGTACAATTACTGTTTTGTATTCTAATACCAAAATTCAATATAGAGAATTGAAAAAAAACTTTCTATTGATAAAGATTGTTGTTAATGACATAACAATTAAAATTATTATAGATGGAAGACATTATTGCTTGGAACAAATATATATTTTATTCATTACTTTTTAAAGTATTTTGAAAAAAAAAAAAAATAATAAAGTTCTGTAATAATAATAATAAACTAATTCTCTGAGCAATACATCTGAGTATATCTGTACAGAAAATTCATGCTGTGTAATCTTCTCTCAATTCTGAGAGCTGTCACAGATACATCACATTCATCATGAGTACAAAAAGAAAGTCTTCCTTTTATAGGGCACAAAAGAAATAAATACAGGAAAAAAAACAGTACAATGTGCTTCAGTGCTATTGCCATATCCTTTAGAATGCCAATCTCAACAATTAACATCATTCAAGAAAACTATGATATGACATACTGTTATTTATTTTTCAGGGCCAGAGTTGCAAAAAATTATTTCCTTTGTGACCTTCAACATTATACATACATTCACTCTGTGCAGAATCACGTAGATATATGTGATTCTGAATTTCCATGTAAGGGCGTGTGCTGTCTTACCCGCACTGTCATTGGCTCCTGTAGGTGTCAATCACTGGATCCCGGCCAGCGATTTGGCGATCGAGGGAGCAGCTGACAGAAGAGAGATCTGTGAGTGTAAACAACAAAGCAGGGAGATAAAAACCAACACGTCCCTAATAAAAAAAACTACACAGTACACAGTAAATCACTTCCTAACACACAGTTAACCCTTTGATCACCCCAGATGTTAACCCCTTCCTGCCCAGTGTCATTAGTACAGTGTCAGTGCTTTTTATTAGCACTGATTATTATTATTATTATACAGTATTTATAAAGCGCCAATAGTTCGCTCAGCGCTGTACATTACAAAGGGGGACAGAACATGTGACAGAACAATACCAATACAATGCAAAACATGAGGGGATCGAGGGCCCTGTTCTTTCGAGCTTACTGTATTAGTGTCACTAGAGATGTCAGTGGCAGGTAGTCAGTTCTCATCCAGTGTTAGTTAGCGTCAGAATGTCTGCCGTACTATCGCAGTATTGCTATAAGTAGCTGATCACCGTCATTACTAGTATAAAAAAAAATTACAGTATATATATATATATATATATATATATATATATATTATATATATATAACAGTTGTGTTCAAAAGTCTACATACCCTGGCAGAAATCGTGAAATTTTGGCATTGATATTGAAAATATGACTGATCATGCCAAAAACTTCTGGCAAAACTAGGCTAGATACTAAGCCATGATGATCAGAAAAGAACTGTCAAAAGTCCTTTGCAACAAGGTAATGGAACTTTATAAAGATGGAAAAGGACATATAAAGATGTCCAAAGCCTTGAATATGTCAATCAGTACTGTTAATTCACCTATTAAGAAGTGGAAAGTTTAGGGATCTCTTGATACCAAGCCAAGGACAGGTAGACCAGGAAAGATTGCAGCCATAACTGGCAGAAGAATTGTTTGGGATTCAAAGAAAAACCCACAGGCAACCTCAAAAGAAAAACAGGCTGCTCTGGTAAAAGATGGCGTGGTTGTTTTTAAGGAGTACAATACGGTGATACTTGAACAAAAATGAGCTGTTTGGTCGAAGTGCCAGAAAGAAGCTTTTACTGCACCAATGCCACAAAAAAGTCTGGTTACAATATGCCTGACAACACCTTGACATGCCTAACCAGGCCTTTCTTGTGTCATTGATGCAGTAAAAACTTCTTTTCTGGCACCTCGACCATGCAGCTAATTTTTGTTCAAGTGTCATCATATTGTGCTCCTTCAAAACAACCACACTGTCTTTTTCCAGAGCAGCCTGTATTTTTCTTGTGGTTACCTATGGGTTTCCCTTTGTATCCCAAACCATTTTTCTGGGAGTTGTGGCTGCAATCTTTCCTTGTCTACCTGACCTTGGCTTGGTATCAAGAGATCCCCAAACTTTCCACTTCTTAATAGGTGATTTAACAGTACTGAGTGGCATATTCAAGGCTTTGGATATCTTTTTTTGTCCTTTTCCATTTTTATAAAGTTCTATTACCTTGTTATGCAGGACTTTTGACAGTTCTTTTCTGATCTCCATGGCTCAGTATCTAGCCCAGTCAGTGCTTCCATGTAAGAGCTAAAAAAAACTCATTGACTATTTATACACTGACACTAATTGCAATTTAAAAAGCCACAGATGTGGGACATTAACCTCTAATTGGCATTTTAACCCGTGTGTGTCAACTTGTGTGTCTGTACCAAGGCCAAACATTCCAGGGTATGTAAACTTTTGATC